TTTCACTGCTCTATAATTTCTGAGCAAGGATGGAAAATTATAAACCACAGCCAGTGTTACAGCATAAAACCAATTACAGAAAGCAAGGAGCGGGCAGTGCTGTGTGCACTTAGTCACCAGCTCCTCCAAGGACAACCTCTCCTTTACCTGTCTCACATTGTACCAGAGAAGAACTCTGTCTTTTCAGACCTCCCAGATGGTAGCTTGGGCTCATTTGATGAAGCAGCCAGAGCTTTCCAGAAAGTGAAGTGGCATTGCCACATTTGGAGTGACCTCAATTTCTGCTGAGCCACTTCCAAATAAGAAGTCAAGCCAGAAAAAAAAACAAAAGTCATGAGACAGACCTGAAGACATCAGCTTTAAGCATGCGACATACAGCCCTTTCTACCATAATCCTCTCGCCTCCAAACCCACCCTATCTCACGAGGACACATGTTAAAAACAGGCCAGTGGGTGTAATCCCTTTTAGAGCCAGGATCTCTGCTTGGCCAGACCCAGCGCTGAGTCTGCCCAAGGGCAGAGTTTGGCCCATTGCTTCTGTCTCTGGTGCCTGGGCTCTGGTTGTTTTTTCCAGACACATCCTGCACATGGACTAGGGCAGGGTTGAAGCTGTTTGGTTCGCGATTCACTCAGCATCATGGATTCCCTAACAGCAGGTGCTGGATGCAAGCCATCCTGAGCATGTTCAGGCACAGTCTGTCTTTAGAATCCAAACAGGTATGGCTGGAGGCTTCTCACTCAACCTCACCTGGAGGATTTTCTATAGCAACTAAAGCCAGGCATTTGGATGGTTGGATTAACCCTTATATGCTTCATGAAATGAGCTTCATTGAAAATGAGCATCTTTTTCTTACCTTTAGTTTCTGCTGTGGTGCAGAGACAGCTGTGGATCAATTAGAGTGTCTTCATCAATCACCTGTTTTTTTCTGAACGAAAGATTGAAATGCTGAATCCTTCCTCTGCTGGTCCTTTCCATGATGGGGGGTAAAACATTTCCCAATTTCCATCAGGTTATGTGAGGTTTAACCCCAGAGGACACAGTCTCCCAGCAGATTAAGTCACAGTTTCATAAATCAGTCTGGAAATTTACCCTGTTTCATGTCAAATTTTCCATAGTTCAGCTTCTCCAGTGACTCCTATTGCCCTGCTCTTCCCCTGCCAACCACCTTGGGGGTGTTTATAGCAGTCAGATGCACTTGTACATACATAAAAAATAACCCAGAATTTTTAAAAAGTTTGTATTTACAAGTTGAGTCTTGTACTGTTGGAATTAGACTCTAATTAGGTCAGTCATGTTCCCCTGGTAGGGTAAGAATGATAGTGCTGGAAAACAGACAATTTATAGACACCCAAAAATAACTCATCCTGCTGTTTTGTAAGAAAGATGTGTTTTCTTCGCCCTGTGCTGAGGACATTTGCAGTTGAGGCCACTCGGGCACACTGATACCAGACGCACAAGCTGCGGCTTGGTCCCACAGGCAAAGCTGGCCTGTGCCTCAATTTCCTCCTACCAAAGGAGGGATATTAATCCTTCCCAATTTGACAGGGCTGTGGTGAGGTCACCTGTGTTTGTAAGGCATTTTATCACTCTTGGCATGAGGCCCCAGGCTATATTACACATGCTTTTTTTCAGACTTGACTTTTAGCCTTATCTGCACCGCCTGTTTAGTGCACAAAGTGCAATCATTTGCATGAACTACAGGGTGAAGAAAAAGCCCATGGTTTCACCACTGCGTGCACTACACCCCCTAGAAGTTACACAATGCAGGGAAGTACCTTTGAATGACATTGTGGGCGTTGGTTCCTTCTTCTGCTGACACATTATTGTCACCGTCACGCACCGTTTGCAGTTTGCTCATTTCTCCATACATAGGTGCTGATTCTCGGATTCTGCAAATGACTCCACCAGTTTCAGAGCTGCTGAGAAATTTGCTTTGTAGAACCTCGCAGAACCTCTTTTCGTCAGACTCATCTGATTTAGGATTATCCTAACGTTAACAATTTCTGATGAACATGCCAACTGGCTACTTAATTAAGGTCTCTACCGACCTGGGCTTAGAGGGACATGCCCTGCATTTCCAAAGAAAGAAGATAACAAAGCAAAAGGACTCCTGCTCTTGGAGCCCAATGGAAGTGAACAAAACCCCCCCAAAAAATGCGTGTTCAGATAAAGTTCCTTTTGATTTTGTGGGAAATGCAGGTTTGAAAAGAAAATAATTGGCAAGGTAAGAGGAGGAGAGAAAAAAAACCACACAACCAAAAACAAGAGGCAGGCTTAAAATAAATGAAAATAAAAGGAGCAAGGAGAAAAATAAATAACCCTGGAGCAAAAACACAGAGGGAAGAAGAGGAAACAAATGAGACAAATAGCAGGAAAAGGGTCAGTAATGAAAGCCCAGATTACTCAATTCAGTCAAGCCCTCGCCTGTGCTGTTCAGGGCAGGGCGGGAAGCCAATCTGTTTTCTCTGGTATTGTTTAGGCTAAAAATGCCATGGCAGATTTCCCATCCACTCCCGTGTTTATGTCCATGCTCCAATCCTAACCACAAAACATGTGAGGAGGAAACACATCCTGAGAAGAGTAAGGGCTGGAAGCGGGAGGATGATACACTTCGTCACCGAATGACCTCAAAAAAGCACTTCTGCATCTTATGGCAATTTTGCAGAATAATGTCTCGTTCATGAAATGTTATGGCGTGAAGATTTTCATCTTCAAAATGGGTACATTGATACCTCTGGGTTATTACAAGCTACCAGCCGCAGAGGGCTGCCTGTATTTATACAACACTGCATTATTTATAATATCCCTTTCAGGAGCAGGAGAATATGAGTTTTTTCCTTAGCAGTTTGACTTTTTTTCTGCCCCCCCTCTCCCACTTGAAAAACATTGATTTCTTGCTCTCATTTCTCCCACCAAAGCTGTAGCCAATCTGACTGTGTTTAGTTTACTTCTCTAGGCCAGATGCTCAGCTGGTGAAAAGCACCAGCAGCCACCCTGGAATAACAGAGCTGCCCTGATTTCCACCAGCTGGGAACTGGTCCAGCCTCCACAACATCAGCACGCTTGCAGGAACTGTTTAATGGCTGCTAGAGTGCTGCAGGGGAGGACAAATATTATTTGCAAGGGGATGAAGGTGGACAGAATGGTAGCCCCATGGGTTTCCATTTCTGAATGGGTTTCAACTCTCCTGTAATAAGGATCTGGAGGAAGTTTATCACTGCAAAATAACAATGTTTAAGATTGATCAAATTCTGGGTGGAAACTATTGGAGAGTATCATTTTAGCTAAAAAGCAATGGGGGATTATAAGACTTTACAGTCCAGAACGAACAGTGAAGAATTTCAGTCCGTGTTATGTTTTCACCATCTTGAGCTGTTAACTCGTGAGCACGCTGGCGAGACACCCAGAAACTTCTTCAAGCCAAAAATAACAGAAGAGGCTGAAAAATATTTTTTTCCCCTACCCAAAATAAATGTACCAAGGACACACACATTTCAAAAAGGGTTCTTTTAATTAGAAGCAAGTTTGCAAAAGAAGAAGTAACTTTCTCATATAAAATCGTGGAGTGGTGAAGGTGAGGCTAACAAGAGGTGTGGAACAAAAATCCAGGGCAAATCCCCAAGGAGACACTGAAGTAAAAGCAACGATCCAATAACCGTAGTACACTGAAGGGTAACTCAAACACATCTGTGTTAGGTGGTCCTACCCCTAAGCTGATGGCAGATACCAAATCAGAGGATGGACTCTATCTGAAGAGTGGCGAAGTGACCAGCTACAAACTCATCGTAATACCACGTCCTTCCATCTTTCTGCCACCTGAGCTCCCACCGCATTGTGACAGGTCCCAGCACTGCCCAGGAGCTTAACGACATCAAGTGGGGAGCACTGGTGGCACTTCCCAGGCACCCCACCTGCAGAACACCACCATGTTGTGTAAGCAGAAAGGTTTCATTCCCAGATCTAAAGAATCAGGCATAAATGGGAATACACTTCAATGTAAAGCTCTGTAACCCCATTCTAGTCCCTATATCCAGCGATTCAAGCCCCAAGAAAGTGCACAGTGATCAAACAGCATCAAAATAATGAATTTCCTGCCAAGTCTTGAGGCTCCAAGGCCGTTTAAAATGGGCAGGTGGCAGCTTTAAGACGATAAAATTCTGAGTCAGAGCCTGAATCTCAAGCCCCAGTGGTATTTCACTTCTTGTTCAACATATCTCACCTGTCTCATGTGTCACGTGTGTGCTTCTCAGTTGTGGCTCTCAACTACCAGGGGCAGCAAACTTTAAACCTTCACAAAGTGCAAGCCAACTTTGTCTGGGAGGGCTGGGGGTAAAGATGTAGGGGAGAAGAAAAGGAATACAGGAATACAAAGAACTGAAGGGACTCGTTAGGTGGAGCCATCGAAGAGTCATGCCCAGCCCAACATGTTCAGTCTTGGGGTGACTGTGCTCCTAATTCAAGGGTGGGTTTCTGTAAGGAGGTTTCAGTACATACTGTACAACCACATCATCATGCGTGTGGTTTTGTATAAACACCACAGCAACATACCTCTCCCCACGTGACCTCTAGTAATGCCATGATGATGTACGGACTGCACACATGCTGGCAAAAACCTATAAAAACAACCTAAGAAATGTGATTGAACTAGCAGGAAACTCCAGGTTGAATGAAGCTGTTTGCAGTACAACCTGCCCATCTAGTAACGCTTCTGTGATGGTTTTTCCTCTCCAAATATAACCCCTCATTGCATGTGCCCTTCTGGCTGCTGTTGATAAAGGAGATCAATATAGATTGGAGGTGTTGGGATCATATTCAGTCTTGCATGTCTCAGGTTTCTAGGACTTCATGACTTCTAATGGTCCTTCCAAAGGTTATCTTTCTTGTTTGGTGTGGTGTTTTGTTTGTTGTGGGGTTTTTTTTTGGTTTTTTTTTTTTTGTTTGTTTGTTTGTTTTTTGTTTGTGTGTGTGTGTGTGTGTGTGTGTGTGTGTGTTTGGTTTTGTTTCCCAATAAATTCCTTTTCTAAAAGGAATTTTCTGAAACAAGTTGCCCTGCTTATCTGGAAACAGCAAGTAGAAGATGACACCAATGCTCTGTATGTATAAACAGCTCTTTCTCCTGCCTTTTTGGAAAGAAGATTGGATAATCTTTGGATGACCCAATGGATTTCTTGAGGGAAGCAATGCCAAGGATAATAAATGTATCCCCATGTCAAGACAGACTTGGATATTTATGCTAAACAATTGCTACAGCAGCTTCTGGCAGAGACCTGGGTAAGCAGGAAAAATGAGATCTTGGCCCATCTGCAAAGCATCACTGGCTTTAACACTCAAAATGAAGAGGAAAAAAAAATCCTTTTGGGTAATGGATTAGTTTCTTTTTCTGGATGCTTTTTTTAGTTCTCTCCAGTAATGCCAACCGCTTCCAAAAGTGGGATCACTGGCCGCAGTTAGTAAATGCCGATTAAACCCTTTGCTCTGTGCTCTCACTGCTCTCTGCCCTCCCCACAAAGGGGTTTCGCACGGGTGACTCCCAGGATGGGGAAAAAGAGACTGTCACTGATGAAAGCAAAACAGTGCCCTCTCCTGTCCCTTCTCACCGCTGCCACTCGCACCCCAGCAGCACTGGCCATGCACCAGCAGCCGAGCATGAGGAGGTGGGAATGGAAAATACTCCACCCAAGGGTGTGGTAGAGGACACACCTTGTGTGATACGGAGTTTTGTGGAATAAAATGCTCCACTTAGAGTGGCTGAAATAGTACAGCTTCTTCACTTATGTGCACTTTTGCATTTGATTTATGATCTGGACAACCTGAGGTTTGGTGCTGTTGGGAGTGCCGGGAGCATTGCTGATGGTGGTGGCCGGTGTTATCTCAGCCCTGGGAGGGGGAGAAGACTTGGGCCTTTTTTTCCCTGCAGGAAATTGGGTATTTCCATGGCTATTGCATGAAAAATGAGTTCCTATTAAACTGTTCCCTGAAATGTCTCCCTTGGTCATTTCATGATGCTGTTTTTATTTTTTAGTAACAGCCACCAAGAGACCTGAGAAACATGGGAAAGTAAATAAATAAATACAAATAAACTATCCTAAGAAGGCATTTTAAATATAAGCCTTCATTTTTCAAGACTGTTATAAACAGGAAGATGGAAACAGAAATGGATTTGATGGGTGAAGTTATTGTAACATGACAACTAATGTTTAAAAGTCATATTTCAAGGCTGCGATTCCCAACGATTACAGGTATGAAGTAGAGCTTTCTTGCTAACTGATGGAGTGTTTCCTTCTAGATAGAACAATTTACCTGATATCTGAAGTAAATAAAACCTTCCCATTAATCATATTTTACAAGTACAGCATGTTAACAAGAAGGCACAGGGATCATGCGTGTAGCTACAGAAGATCCTGGGCAGCAGAACACACAGCCTACGCTCATCTTAGGGGTAAGCAGGGCAGTGCACTTCCACGCTCTGCAATTGCCTAAGTCAAATAAAACCACATGTAAGAAAAGCCAACTCCTAAACAAAACATAACCAAGACTGACAATAGAGTGGACTGGAATGGAACAGAAATACCTTTGCTTGGATCAACAGGTCCTAAAGGAATCACACTTAACCTGTTATTTCAGCAGCAGTCAGAAGAAAAGGGCCAAACAGCCAACTCAGCAGGTCCTCAGCAAGCTCAAGCTTTTTAGTTGCAGATAGTTCTGAGAAAAAAAAGAATAGTCTCTTTTCCTCGCTTTATATAGATCGTGCTGCTCCCCACGTGGTCCTTCAGTGGAGCAGTGGCCGCAAAGTCCATTTCCTTTATTCCCCATGGTTTCCTTGCTTTTCTGCTCAATGTGGTATCAGATCAGCCCCAGAGAGTAACTGCACCTCACACCAATTCAGATCTGGCAATATTCAGGAGATACGGAGCTACTCACACTATGCTTTCCTTTGGAGCAAAGTCTTCGGTGTTCGATCTACTTTCTACTAATCTATATCCCTAAGTTCTTAGTGGTCCTTGGAAGGTTCCTCCTGTAGCACTACCTCTCAAACCTGTTGGATAAGCGCCATTAAAATTCCAACAGCAATTGCATTGCTATGTCACATATATATAAAACAAGGTGTTTAAAAATATGTAAACTGATGCAGGAAATAACAAAGGAGAAAGAAAACAAATCAGAAACTCATGTAGATAATTTCATCTAAGAAACAAAAAGCTAAGACTGCAAACAAACTTTTGTCAGTTCAGTAATTAAAGCAAAGTCCATATGGCTTAAGAGAACAGTCAAAGTGCACAGAAGGCAGTGGGTTTTTTGTTTGCTTTGCATTCCTCTTCGCAGCAAGCTCCACGTCATCCTCTGTGGAGCCCCTTCTCCATCCCACACACATCCTATCCAGGTGCAGAGAGGGGGATGGCTCACACGGTTTTGGCTTAAGCCCATGTCTTGGCATATCCCTTGACATCTAATGAGCTGTGGATCATTATCCCAAACTCAAAAGCCCTTAAACACACCCACTGGAGTATTTGGTTTTGAAATTTTTCTTTCTGGAGCCTTTGGAGAGGAACAGCAATCCAGTGCCAAAGCTATCCAGAATCTGTACGCACCAAGAGCAGCAGTGCTCAGAGGCAGTGACAAAGAGTAAAAGCAGTTCCAAAATCATTTGCCCTGTCCAAGAGGCACTGAAAGGTGACAGCAAGGCCGAGCTTGCCCTTGGACCTCAACTGTTCAGGTGAGGTGCCAATCAAGCTACTTCTAACCAGCCCCCATGGGCAGGAACAGGCAGCCACCACAATCAGCACCAGGTTGGTTCCAACAACCTGCCTTGAAGCCACCGCCACCCAGTTCCACAGCTGTCCCATATCCCCCCAGAGAGGACAGGGACAATCTGCAATAGTAACAGTGCCCACACATGTCCTGAGAGGACATTAGCAAGCAGCAGGATACCAATTTTCCTGGCTGACCTACCCCCACCTGGGAGGAAATGCCAGATGCTGGAGTGGCAAGAAAGGACTCGCTTCCAAATTCACCTTTCAAACTCTTGCGGTAAAAAGTCTGGTGATCCAGGACTGTTGCTAGGTCCAAGGGCTGGACTTGGATTCTTTAAACCCCTGACAACTCCCTTGTGAGTAAACAACTTGCTGCTAAACATGACAGACTCAGGAAAAGGACAGAAAAGAAGAAAACAAAAAGGGAGCTATACAAAAGGATGGAAAATAAACTAAAATTCCCCTCTCTTCTTTCAAAAAGCTGTAACTTCAAGTGCACAAAGCAGGCTGTAAACGTGCACAAGGTAATTCATGACCCTAATGCTTGAAAAACCTGGTTAGCTTTATTTGGAGACACTTTGTTGCTTCTCCCAGATATGAAGCTGAAGAATCAATAAAAGGCACCTGTAGACACCAAAACTCACCCAGTCTGTGACGTGTCTTTGTACTAAAAAAATGAAATCAAATAAACCCAGCTACCGTGTACTTTTTTACAGACCAGTAAGCAGCACTTCAGAGTCTGGGTAAGAAAGAATGCTCAACTTCTATTGACAGGGCAGGATAACTTTGACGATCAAAAACCTCACCAATTAGTAGACTCTCTAGCTTGTCACTGCAATCTTAATTGAAAGATTCCTCTGGCTTGCTGGGGTGTGTCCTTTGACATTTAAAAAAATGACCAATTCAAACGGCACATGCGGAGGGAGGATTTGAGCCACACCAAAAATAAACTGACCTTGCATCTGAATTCTTCCCACTTGCTTCACCCACTGCTGCCTACAGTGATCTTTTGAGTCATCTCCTCTTCCAAAGGCCCTGGAGTTGGAATATTTAAAGAATGCAGCAGGTTCCATTTGAACAAGAAATAGAAACAGGTCAGTAATTCAGTATAAATACACCAGTAGTGAGCCTAGAGCAGACACAGTGACACATCTGAGCATGTTGATCAGCCAGTGCTCCTAATGCAGGGAGCAGCAATGAGAAGAGGAGAGAGGATGTGTCTGCTTTTCATGTAAAAATTTGTCCCTTTTCTATGTTTTCCTACTTGACCTTGATGACAGGGGAAAAATTAAAAAGGAAAAAAAAAAAGTAGAGAAAAAGGAAGAAAAAGGAGCCTGGGAGGTTTTGTTTTCTCTTCAAATCACATCACAAAGTCACTCATTGCATCTAGGGAATTCACCTCCTTGTTTGGGAACAGGGGGACAGAAGGAGAGAAAGAAAGAGGGAAGAGAGGGGCATGGGAGCTGCTTCCTGAAGCAGTGTTACAAAAGCGGTTAAAAAACCCCTACTATTCACAAGTGGTTAAAATCATCGCTTTTCGGAATTCCGTTTTTTTCTTTTTTTTTTTTTAAACAAAGGTTCAGCTAGTTCAGCTCCATATTTTTAGAGTTGATTGTCTTCAGAAAAAAAAACCCCAGCCTCATCCGTGTTCCCATCCATTTCTACCCTGATAGAGAAGTTACCCACAAGTTCATCGCACCGGTCACGCACACACAGTCACTGTGACGGGTCCCCCCCCAGTGCCGCCGGCGGTTCGGCTGTATCCTCCAGCCCTGTCTCAGACGAAGGAGGAGAACCCTGTCACTGGAGTCCGGGAGCCGGGCGCAGGCTGTCCTGTTGGGGTGTACACCCCTCCTGAGCTCTGTGTTGTGATGACAGTCTGGAAATAGGGTTCTGTCTCGCTGGCGACACACTCCTCATATCTATAGGATGCTGGGTGCTTCACCCCTTTCTGCTGCCGCTTCCATGAGTTGTAGTACGTGGGGTCACTCATGTAATGGTTCACAAAGGAGTGCTTTGGCAACTCATCTTCATAATCCGAGTCAGTGGCCTGGAGCATCGGGAAAAAAAAAACACACACAAAAAAATCAGCCATTATCATCTATGATTTAACCTGTTCCACTCTAAAAGAAATTAGAGACAAGATTAATATCATCAGCTGACAAAAGCTGTAATTTGAGGGTAGGATGGTTTGTAGTCCAAGTGTAATATATGCTGGACTGTAAAAAGCACTGGGCTCTGGTTTAGCCAGGCTTTGCTGCTAGAGGGAGAGTCACCCAAGGAACGCTGGCAATGAGATGCAGAGAAATTCCTTCTAATTCACTGCAGAACACTGCGACGAGAGGCAGGAGTTTCTATTTTGACACAAGATGCAGGGAAGTGTAGAGACGTCACAGGGAAACCAACGGCTTTCAATCACATAATCAACAAGATTGCAATTACATTTGAGAATCGCTCTTCTGATGCAAGGACAGAAAGAATGTCTTCTGTGCGAGTTAGCCAGTCGTGCTGTTGTTTGTGGTGCTCAGACCAGCCTACCTGCACAGCACTCTGAATTTGGCTTGCAAGTCCTGGTAAGTACTGAAAATTAGTTATACCACTGAAAGGGAATTAAGCAAAATCACAGTTTTTTTTCAGGCAAACAACTGTATCTGTATGTTCCAGCTGATTATTGGTGGTACAACAAGGCACACGACCAGCGGCGATAGAAGAAAGAGAATGCAAAATCTGGAAAAGAAGAACTGCCAGGCAGAAGGGGTTGCTTTCTTGGGATGGCTCAGGCACAGCCCTGTGTTCAGAGCAGATCTTACCCCTGAAACATTCATGCACAGTTGCTGGATAGCTTCAAAGCTCATATCAATATCGAGTGGGAGCTCTACTGAGATGTAACTGGATAAGCTTCGTGCATCTGCCCCTCCTCTGAAGCTGTGATAGAGCTGGAGGAATCACAGAGGGCTCGTACATCTCCTCCAGGTACAGAGACCACGGCAAAGCCTTGGCCATACTATCCAAGTGCACGTTTTCCTTCTGTTCCCACTAATGTTCCCACTAATTACAGCCACATCCCATACAGCACAGAAACGTTTACCCAGTAATTTCCCTATCTCATGCCTTCTTTCAGAATCTTTGGTTTGAGCATGCAAAAGCTTTTACTCCTTTTTTTTTCCCCCTGATAATCTGCATAGCTGATTCTAAAGGCAATTAAATATCAAAGTAGTAGCTGCCTAAGACATACAAGATAGAGACGGGTAAGTGCAGCTCATAACTGTTAGTTGCTGCAATTAATTTCAAAAGGTTGGTATCGTTCTGATCTATGACACCACACAGCACACACACATCCTTCTTGATCCTGCCTGCCACACAACTAGTCTCTCCTCCTCCTCAGCTCCTTTTTAATGGTGTCTGAAGAACAATCCTCAAATGCCTTGTGAACCATCGTTTGAAAAGGGCACTGCATCCATCATCCCACCTCTTTGCTTAGATAGCTGCTGCAATACTATTTCATGCCCATTTTCCAGCATAGAGGGTGATGGACAGTTGAGAAATTTTTCCCAGAGTTTTCCAAAAGTCTGAGCAAAGCAGCTCTTTACAGCTTTGCAAAATTTCCCTTCCACTATTACCTATGCTTTGGCTCGTTCAGAATTATGTACTGTTCAATTATTTTAAGAATGAAAAGCTTCAGGGGCCTTGACACGTAATTAATATTACAACAAAACCTTACCAGCACTTAATAATTATTCCAGGAGGAATTCAACAAGTCTTTTTCCTAGAAAAATGCTCCTTTTGCACCAGCTGCCAGGCTTGGGAAGCCAACACCCGACTCCCTCCAAAGACCTTCCTGAACAGGTGTTTTTTGCGGCATGCCCAGAATATCCCCAGATTTGGACCACTTCACAGCCAGTGGGTGCAGAGAGCATCTCCAGAGTCTTGGCACTGCTTCAGGGTACATCCTGCCAGTGCTGCCTTGCCTATTTTTGTAAGGGGCTCCAAGAAGAGTGGCTCCAATGCCCGCAGAAGTGACAGCACGGCTGAGTGTGGCAGCAGTAGCTTGGGCAAGCTGGTCCTTGGCTGTAGAGGCAACGAATTTTACCTGCAGACCAAAAGATCCTCAAACTCTGGTTTTCTTTGTTCTTATCAAGAATCAAGGTGTTTCACTTTGCATTAGCCTACATCTCCAAACATTATGCTGCAGCTCCACAGTCTAAGGTAAAAAGTGCCTGGGAAGCGGGGAGATGATGTGGCCATCCAGAAGAAAAGTCTCCACATCCTGAGCAGGTGGTTACGGATCACTCAGCAGAAGCAGCACCTGAAGGTGTAAACTCCTCCAGCATGTGCTCCCTCCATCAAAGGCACAAAGCTACGACTGCCCTTGCCCTGTCTTCTGACTCCTTCCCCAGTCAACCATCACTCTGACTGACTTGGACACGCTCAGCCACCCCACAAAGAAACGAACTCTTGCTGAAAAGATGGATCACAGCTGAGTTGAGGTGTCATAAGCATAAGGAGGAAAAACCCCACACACATCTAGTGGCCCCATACTGGTCTTTTGGATGATCCCATAGACATATAGAAACATAAAGACAACTAAAAGGCTGGAAACTCTAAGAAGAAACGCTGAAAAGAAGCTGTATCCCGAAGACTGACACATGACTTGATAGGTATAATAATACTGATGCAGCTACTTGATTTCTGTCCATTGCTAGCAGAAAAATACCCAGAAAACTAATATAATTTCTGGACCTAAGCCAAGTATTTTTGAGATTGCCAGAGTCAAACATAATAAAGAGGAGAAATACTGGGAACACTTTTAGATGGGCTGCTGCCATTTGAAATACAGTGTCACTTGCACTGCCATGAACAGAAAGAGGGAATCTAAACCAATTATCACCCGCTGATAATCTGTCCACTAATTAGTCCACTATACCAACTGACAGAGAACACTAATGTGGCGTAAATAAGGCCAGTGCTTTTCAGAAGCGACTTTCAGGAAACAGAGCTGCAGTAACTTCAGCCTTTCACCATCATGAGCACAGAGGCTGGAAAGGATAACCTACTTGTCAGTGTCGATGCAACATGTTTTCTTTATGTTTCCTTCAGAACAGGCAGGAACTGACTATTCTGTCCATGTTTCTGAAGTATCTTCTAAGGTCTGCTCCGAACAAGGGACTAATAACCAGGCATACCAGCAAGGAATTCTTTAAATTGCCATCCCACATCCCTCTCTGCCCTGATGAAAATCAAGGAGTAGCAAGATAAACCTGTTTTGCATGACAATACAGACAGCTTATACTAGAGGATTACTTTTTAGTGTTTTTTAAACTATTGAGTAAATAGAAATGCTGCAGGGCTTTTAGCTTTGTTTTCGGTTCTCTCCCTTCCCTGCGACTGTGGCTTTGTTACCTTGGAAACCTCCATAGGCTGGAGTGTGATTGGGTGTGCGGTGACATTACAGACTGTCAACCAAAGGTGCATGAATGCCTATGAAACAACAAATATAGAAAATGAGAGGCTATTTAAGTATTTTATTGATAGCATGAAATGCGCAAGTGGTGTTCAGAGGCAAGTCAGTAACCAGAGTGTTTAGCTTAGTCAATGGGAAATTTGAAAATAGTTCCAATTGTCTCTTTTTTTTTTTTTTTTCTTAAAGTGACTGCATAAGAAACAACCCTATGAGATTATTTCTAAAAATGTAGATGGCAGCAGTTCCTTTTGCTTGACATGAAATGAATATGCTGTAAAACAGACAAGGTAATCTTGGCAAACAGATTTCTCTGGACACAGGAACCCTTGCTTATTTAATGTGTCACCTGCACCTGGTTTCCACATAGTGCCCAACTTGTCAAAATCATTGGAAAACTTTATTGGAAACAAGTTAAACCATATTCCCTATTAAGTGTTAAGTGGAAATTTATAATATCTTCCTACAGAGGTGAGAAAGCAGAAGTCAGTTAAATTGCAGAGAGCAGCTGGGAAGACAAGAGCATCACCAGCATTCAGCACCGACTGATAATGTGGGTAATCTGTGAGAATATTATCTCCTGAAACCTATTTTGGGGAAACCACAAGGACACGTGACAACAAACAAACAAACATCACTCTCCCCTCCCCTCCTGTCAAACTGCTCTTCCATGGCTGGATGACATCACAGATATATCATCAAATTTCTCTACATGGTGAGCACCAAATTTCTTCAGATTCTGTCCAAAGCCTCGTCCACTTGACTCATTATCTAAAAGCCTATTATTATTAATCATTTAGAAATTACACTCTTAGCACTCTCTTGCTCCATACCTGCCAATTAAACTACTTTAACCTCATTAACAGTACTGGTGCTTGGCTTTCATGACATGGAGTAAGTTAACCACTTGATTTATGAATATCAAGAGCACTGCTTGGTCTGCGTGATTTTCTCTTTGTTTCTCTCTTGCTCTCCTCATCAGGAGGGAGCTCTGAGGAAGGCTCCCAGGCAGCCGTGTTGTAAGTACAGTCAGTCAGCCCGAGAGTTTCTCTCAGACTTCTTCATGTTCAGTAAAACCCATGAGACTTGAAGCCAGTGAGCTCCCTTCTTTTCCATATAAAATCTTGACACCTCAGGCAACAGGGGTAAGACTAAGCAGCAACAAGATGACATGCAGGTTGAAAGCAAAAGCACAGTTTTTGGCCCTGCCTGTCCTTATGTACATCATATTAAGTGGAACCTGAGATCCACACAAAGATGTATTAGAGAAAGACAGCATCAGAACATTGATGCAGAGGACCAAACCTGTATAGAGCTTATATTAAAAGATAGCTTTAACTCTTCATAGAATGGCAAACATTTCTGCCTGCTAAGAGAGATGGAAATTCTGAAATTCTCAGAAAACAGAGCTTGTCTGTTAAGATCTCCTTTGAGAATAGAAACAAAAAGAACAGAAAAGACAAACAGGAAGGGCTAATATGTACAGGAATACTTGAAAGAGAGGGGTCAAACACCTATGCCCACCTCATCCCCAACCCAACCTTACCTCCTGTCTGTACCAGCCAATGTAAACATCATTCTTAGGTTGATCAAAAGGTGGCATTTCCTATTGCTACCTCTACTGGGAACGTATTAACATTTCATGCCTAAAAACACTCCCCACCACAAAAAAAAACAAGCATCAAAGACATTATACAGAAGGGCTGCATATCTGAGGCCCAAGGGAAAACAGAAAGCACATTTTGTTCACATACTCACATGCGCACACAGATTCACAAAGACACTAGAATCTCAACTGAGACCTTCAGGCTCAACTGCAATACACAGTAAATAAATAATATTAATAATAGCCTGAGAAAATAACTTTCTTCTGTATTGTCCAAACAGTGCATACAGAAGGCAGTAATGACACACTGCAAGTGGACTTCAGCGCATTACCAGGAAATACCACATGGGGCACTGAAATTAATGTCAAAAGGTGCCAGTGCTAAATTCATGATCATGCTCAGCAAACTGTTTTAATGACAGGTTTAATGCTGGGTTGTTACAGTGACATGACCAAAGCACTATGGGTTTAATCTGGAGGGTAATGCTTGTGCATTGCATAGATAGCAGCCTGAGCTTCACCAAGGAAAGCTGCCTGCATGATGGGTCGGCCACAGGGCAGCACAAAGCAGCAGACTGTCCGTGGTAATTAACAGGAGGTGAGAGCTAGGTAGCCAGGAAAAGCAGCTGTAGCTGCAGGTGCAGAAAAGCTACAGATGAAAACTGTCATCTTCTTTCACTACTTGCTGCTCTTGATTTATTCTTGCTAGAAGGGTCAGGTTTGGAGTGGTTTGGCCCATTGCTTGCTTCTTGTGCTGTCAGTTCAGATTTGTCAGGATCTCAGCTGACAACACACAATTTCAGAGACAGATTTACCTTTCTGGGTATCCCCTTGAAGTCTGTCTATTCACCCCTGGCCACTGTTGGACTTTTACAGACTACAAGCACTTTCTTCTTAAAGGGGTTATAAGACACAAGATGAAGCATGGCCAGATGGATAATGCCGGCATACACCCACCTTCCTTGGAGAACAGAGTCTAAAGGCAACCTGAGCAGAAGGCTCCTCTTGAGTTAAACTAAGGCTGCAGGCTTGGGTGTTCAGAAAACTGAATGCTGGGCTCCCACACCATGGCCATGCACTCCCTGGCAGGTTGCTCCTTCCCCACTTACTCCCTCTGTTACAGAGGCAGAAGTTACCGCACCCCAACATCACTCTTCAGAATCTTGGTGTTTGCTGTAGCTGTCTAAAAAAGGCACTGTGAAAACTTCAAACCACATCCATACTTCAGTCAGTGCCACAATTCAAAGTGTATCCCACCTTCAACCTCTTCCAGACGGTAGCTGCAGCCAGCTGGTTATTTTGCGGTATATATATAGGTCTTCCCAAAAGTGCTCCAAGTTTGCAGCCCACAGGCAGAAGGGGATGTGCAGCCCCTTCCAGAGAGGTGAGCACACGCTGGCTGACTGCACTTGTCTTTCTACACAACACTGGAAAACTGAGTATCTTCCAAGGCCAGGTCTGGAATCTGCCCTGGCTGGGTCCTGCTTGGCATTCTTTCCTCTGAGATTTTAATTTTAAGACGTGATGAGAACAGGACGGTGAATTGGAGTTTTGAAAGTGCCTGAGACAGACAAACAGTGACAATAGAGTATAATGCAGGTGTGGGATCGGGACTTCAAAGACCGTCCAGGATTCCTCAGGGAAACAAATGTCTGCAGTGACTGGGCAACATTTGGCGAGGCAAAGGGAACCCTTACCTCTGATTCCGACACTTCTAAGGGCTTCTCGTTCAGGCCCAAACTCTCGGTCAGCACAGCACCGTTGTACTTGTTGCAGATATCCTCATCAGAGTAGTGCAGCCCCCCTGGGCTTGGGCGAGGAGGAGACCTAGAAACATAAAGGGTAAGTGTATAGGATGTTGTAATTTCTCTGAAATGACACCATTAAATCATTCTTAGAAGCCAGAGTCACAGCCTGGGGCAGTGACTTGGGCACTAAAGTCCTCCTTAGATCCTCCAGACAACAGTCTCTCCTTTTTGACTATTTAACAGTGGTTTGAAGCTAGATAAAACACCATTTCCAAGAGTGTGGTGTTCTCAGCTTCTTACCTGGTTCCATTCTTCTTTGAGAAGGTGCTCTTGATGTTCAGGTGTCTGCTGTTGAGCTCCAGAGCAGTGAAGCCTCCATTATCCAGGGTGACTGACTCTTCCACATTGGAGAGGGTTTTACCTGGAACCAGGCAATAAAAGATTCAGCTGAAACAAAAGCCCTTTTCCCCCAAATAAAACTGTAGGAACAAACTTTTTCTTCTTTGTGTTTGATGACATCGTTAATTATTTGAAAATCTCTTTACCTTTCTTACTGGAAAATGAAAACAATCAGAGTGAAGGAGAAGAGCCTATTAGGAGTGTGAACAGGCAGAAGGAGCCAAAAGAGGGGAAAGGAGGATGCATGGATGGATGCATTTCATTCAGAGTTAAGTATCTAAAATAGCACAGATGAACTGTGCTCCAAAAGTGCTTATTCTTGTCTTTTGCTATAAATAGAAACCAGGTGACTAATTCAGGTGGCCACAGAGGATGTCCTAAATCAAGTGCTGTGAATCCCCTTCATGCTGACTGAAGCAAAGAAAGGGAAAGTAAAACTAGGAAAGGCAGAAAAAGAGGAAAATCAAAAAAAAAAACCCAAAAAGGCAGGAAAGAAAGCAAGAGAAAGGGTAAGTGGATAACAAATAGGAAAAAGATGTCAGAGCTGTAATGAGGATAAGATATAGATGTGAGAAATCACTGGACAATGTAAGGCAGGGAAAAGGACAGGGGACTGGCTGAAGAGGGAAAATACAGCAAAGTATATTATTTCTTGTGATCAAATATAGCAGGAGCTTATTCTCTCCCATGCTCATTCATTGTAATCCCAAAGGTGTGAGCTCAGCTTGTGTCCTGGGGAGAGGGACCGGCTGCATACTGACACTGCAGCAGACAGGTACTTTATCCTCGGCTTCAATTTCTGTGCTACATTAAGACTCGGTGTGAACACTGATATCTGACAGTACAGGTCAGACCTGTCTTTTCATGTCTGTCCCCCAAACACTGAGCAAAACTAAGAAGATGAGAGATTTCCTATGAGCTATGCATACAAATATGTGACAGTATTAACTTGGTAAAATGCCACAGAATTCATATATCTTGTATCTCATGGGACTGAAATCTGATTTTCTAACACTTGTTAGAGGTGAATTATAAAGAAAGAAAAGATCTTCACTTTGGAACTGAATAACTAAATACTGCCTGGAAGACTCCTTCATTACATTAATCCCTAAGAACGGGTAGCTCAAAGACCCATCCACCTGATCCTACTCATTAACGTGTCTTTTTTGGCACCTCCTGGCATCAGAGAAATTTCTTGCTGGAGGAGACTATCAGAAAAATACACATGTGAACAAACCTTCCAGGACTTTATCATGTAAGGAGAAGAAAAGGTAAAAACAATATTCAGACCTCAAGAACTTAGTGTTTTGAAAGGGAACTATTTTAACATTCCTAGTTATAGAGCAGGTAGCCCCTGTTGCCTTTCAGGAAGGAGGCTGGTAAAAATTGTAACTAAAGGAAAATTCAAATCTTGATGCTTGTTATGAGTTAACGTTTAACAGGACCAGGTAACCAAGACACCTCCTAGCTGCTTGGCCCCCAGCCCAGCAACTGCAGCTTATCTTAGGGAATGAATGTGAGTTGCAGGGCACTATTTCATATAAAGGAGTTATGATATAGTCCTCACACATACAGTCTTAGAATATTTGCATTGGGTACAGCCCTGGAAAAGCGGAATCTTTCTCCTTCTCCCCATCTGTCAGGGAATGATGACAAAGATAAATGAAGTCTCAGCTCATTCCTTTTTTGCTGTCTTCTGCCAAGCATTTGACCCAGACTCCTTGGTTTTTGCTACAGTCCCTGGGACTTCCAGATACTGTCCAGATACTGTCTGATCCAAGCCCATGGCTGGTTAACATCCAAAACCTGATAAGATCCGTCACTCTTTGCCCAATATAGATATGGGCAAAAGCCATTTCTACCAAACAGAGAGAAAAAAAGATCCGAGTCTTCTGCCAAACAAAATACTTATAGAGTCCACACTGATAAAACCAGAAGTTCGAAGGGAAGACATTTCTAATTCCCACAGCTCGAGAGTGTGTGCACAGCATGGAGCCAACGCTTTACCTGCGCTGCAGTTCTTGTACTTCTTGCTCTGGCCATGCAGGACCAAAGCAAACACCACCAGAAGGATGAGGATCAGACTTGAGAGCGCCATCACCAGCAGAAACCACCACTCCTCATAGAAAGGGGCTTCTGTTTGTGCTGAAAGAGCAAAAAACAAATATCAATTCCTCTTTAAGCTCCTTCAAAATTTTCTCTTCTTCCCCCCAGTGAACGATGCATCTGTAACAGTACTCAGGAGAGAGAGATGTTCAAAGGAGGTAACATAGTCTGCTCTGCAGTCAAGGAGCTTGCCGATAGTCAGACTTTCAAGGAGCTTGCTGACACTTCTAAGATGGTGTAGAGAACAGGAGCATATCATGGCTCAAAGACCTCCCCAAGCATCTTTCATAAACCCAGAGGTACGCTCCAGAATACCTTAGCTAAGAAGAATTTATCACCAAGTGAAGAGAGGGAGGTTTCTTCCCCTAGCTCTGCACACCTACATTTCTTGACTACTGTGGTATGCTCAGTACTCCCTGGGTCAAAGGAACCACTAATATATCTGTCATGACCCACGATTATTCCACTTTTTAAGAGGCTTACCTCGCCAAAATGCCGCTCAGTGGCTCCGAAAAATACAGCTAGTGCCAGGGAACAAAGTACACTTGGTTCAGTATCTTTCAGTACCTCCATTAACTCCCAACTTCTAACATTCACTGCTACTCTAGATCATTTCCCTATCAGCTTAGCCAAGCCTGATATGCAGCACATGAGTATCAATTCAGTTGCCTGGATTTTGTGATGATCGCAAGTTATTTTACCCCATTTGACCTCATTTGGAGATGTAAAATGATACTAACTTCCCCTTTCTAGAGTTATCTTGCCAGTCTCGTTTTAAGTAATAAGCATTGTTATTTTCTTGCAGTGGTATTCTCTTTGTCAGCAACCCTCAGCTTTATGAAAAAATGCTGCCAGTGGAGCACAAGCCAGCAGCTGTATGCAATTTCCCTGTTGTCCATAAGGTAGAAGAACACCTGCTAGGAATGGGCAGTGCCAGGAGACCAACTTCAACCCAAGCACTATCACTGAGCCCAGGCACTCTTTTTCCCCGACTGTCCTGAGCCCTGGATCTAAATACAAGTCTGTTGTAAGCCTGACGATACGAGCTCAAATTTGTTCCAGATCACCGGGTATTCTGCAGCAGTGAAAAGTAGCCACAATCTTTCTTTGCTAGGAGGCCAGTCCAGGCCAATAAAGTCGTAAAGGCAAACTGCACAAGCCATGCTGGGCTGAGCAGATTCAGTGCAATTTATACCTCCCTGTGCTAGCTGAAGTGGCCAGCCTAAAATGCTTTATACTTTTATGACTGTGAATCTCAACAGAAACCTCTTACTTTCATGCAGCAATTTGAGATGAACACTGAAGCATCAAAAGGAGGTGAATTAAATAGTTCTGTTCAAGTGGAGAACTTACAAACAAGCGGTTTATTTATAAAAAGTGTGACAAGGAGATGCATGCCCAGTTTCAGAGGAATATCTTCAGGAAAGGAGACTGACATGATTACTGACCCTTTACATTGTGTTACAGCCTCTGTGAAACCACAGATAGGAAAAATACTGACTCTTGGTGTTTGAAGTGGGTTGTCTATGCCCTTGTCCTGAAGGAGAAAAGCAAGGGTAGCACTCACACTGAAATCCATAGACAGCTCTCACAGGCTAAGTGGTTAATTGTGTAAGGACAAACACAGCCGTGATGGTGATAGCAGCATTTACTACTCTTGCCTGCTGGGTAACTGTTGAATGTTGTTTATGCTTTTCACTGAAGGAGTAAAGAGATAAAAGCCACTCCAGATACTGGAGCATTGCCAGGCTCTCAAGACTCTCCAGAATTTTGAATCACAAAGCTGCTTTATCAGGTTCTTTTATTCCTCTTGTCTGTCTTTGCTGACACAGCAAGGATGAAACCTATTGCTCAAAACCAACCTGGAGTAGAGCTGTCTGTGCAAGGCTAGGAGGACACCTGAGCAAAGCCCTCACGAGGGCAAGTTCTCCCACTTCACAACAGGCCACCAAACCTGAGCCGCCCAGACATGGCAAGTCGAGTGGAATATGCTTTTAGAGGTATTGAAGTTCCTTCAGAAAATCAGAGTGCCAGGCTGCTCAAAGGGATTTTGTAAGCGTGTTTAGGCCACAGCCCCGTTTACTGGGAATAAGCACAAGAGAGCAGGGAGGGTGGGAAGAGCCCCAGAGCATCACCAACGAGCTGTTCTGATGAAGGGAGACTGGAGGTATCATACTGTACTGGAACTGTCAGAGCAGAGTATATCAGGAATAATTTTGTGAAATTTTTATATTTTTGAGAGCTAAATACAAAATAACACGGAAAATGTTTATCAGAGAACCCTGGGAAAATTAAAAAAAAAAAAAGAAGGAAGCAGAGTAAACAAAACAACACACTAGAAAAGTAGAAAAAGCAAATTGTAGACTGTAAATTAGTCAGGGCAAGAGAGCTTACATTTAAACACTCTTAAATTCCTGAAAAGGTCCTTTATCAAACTTAAAAATGGCACACATGCATTTTTTCTCTTGAAAGTAAAGTATATGGCAATAACAAGCCTTGATTCACCACTGTATTATTCTGGTTTTATCCTAGAACAACTGAAAACAAGCTGCCCTTGATTATTTGTTGCAACTAGAGAATCTGGGCTGTTTTTTCCCACCCCTTCCTCCCTCAACCCTAAGAAATTCCACTGAAAAAGATATTTTTAAAAATCCACGATTACCTGATATTGCCACAGAGGGAACGCTTGGTTCTCCATAGCCAAATTCATTGACAGCCACCACACGAAATTCATAGCTCACACCCTGTTTCAGTTTGTCCAGGCCAACTGTGTAGGAGGTAGCACTGCGAGGGATGTCCTTCACAAACATATCCCACAGTCCTTCATCTAGGAAAGCAGCAAGGAGAGAAATGGCATGCGCTGTGTGACTTGGCACTTCCTTCTGCTCATTGGAAAAAATTGTCATTAATTGCGTGTTTCAGCCACAGGCAGTGGACATGCTTACCTGAAGGCTGCTCAGTGATACACACAAATGTCAGAATGCCCTGCAAGACCCCATCTATAAAGGCATTTATTCATGATGGGATCTTATAATAGCCCAGATGGAAGAGGTTTCCTCTAAAATCTGCAGCAGCACCCACAGCGACCTGCACCGGCTAGAGCAGCTGCCAGCCATCTGGGTGCCTCCTGATCAGGTAAGGTCACCGCACCAGCATGCTTGTTATCTGACAGAGCAAGTAAACCCAAAGCAACCTGCTACATTAATGAGCCCTAATCGCACAGGGTTTGCCTGCTTTTTACAAAACTGTCTTTGCGATTGAAGTGCGTAGCCTAGGCTTTGCAAACTGATATAAGTTTTGGGTCTTGGTGGGAAGTCCTGTGGCCTTGAGTGAACTGGTGCTGGGTGGACTGGTGTCACCAGAGTGCTGCTTGCTTCACAATATCAACAGTGATGTGTCCTTCGCATCTGCTGGCCCGCAGCGTGGCACAGCCCGCAGAGCGCGACAGCCGGCACTGCACCTCCGTGCCGTGCATTCTTAAACAGGGATGAGTTTTTGTTTGTATTCTAAACCCCTCAAAGTTGTTAGAAGCACAATGCCACTCTGATAACAGCGTTTCAGTAGGGTAATCTTGGTTCTCAGCAGCCATACTGACATTGATCCTGATGCTCATCCTGACCAGGCACCATTCTGGTCCCTGATCCATACCCGTAATCTTATATTCACTTGACTACAATTGAAAGAACTTTCAACAAGATGGATGCTGTTACCAGTCAGAACAAAACCAACTATAATTAAAAATGTCAGTCAATAATTTTGAGTGCAGGAATCAAACATTAATCTAACTGGACTGCTTTTCAGTAACAATTGGTGCCCAGCACTTTTGCTGACAAAATGGAGTTACTGTCTAAGCATGGGGCCAAACTCTCAGCTAGTCTGAGCCAGTGTACTTATAGATCTGACCTCACAAGTATCCCATTGGGATTTTACTTTTCAAAGCTGTTCAGGCAATGCCTATTTTTCTCCCACGGCAACAGGAATATGATGATAACCTCTGCGTAGATACGACTCCAGCGCAGGAGCTGCCTGCTTTGAAAGAAAGTCCTCTGCACTGTGAGATTGGAGCATCAGCATGACTTCTGCAGCTTGAGGTGTTATCAAGGTAACAATAAAGCAGGAGCCAGCAGCACCTCCCTCGGTGACTTTTTCTGCTGCTGCAGTGTAAGGCAGGAAGCTGTTCTCATTTGCTTCACATTTACCTGAGTGTAAACTAATTGGAGTCACCGCAGTGATTCCAGAATTGTGCTAGTGTAACTAGCTAGTTGTGCTAGAGCAAAATTTGGCCCTTAGCCTACTTCTGTGCAACAGGGAATAGCAGCAAAGATGGATTGATTAACACTGCAGGTGCATTGCCATGTGAATGTTTTAACTTTGGCATCAGTAAATATTGGCTCAGTAATTTGTACTGTGCTGCACGTCTAGCAACACACACAATGACTAACAACCCCCAAACTACATCTTTTCTGATCATGAGGATTGGCAGTCTCAGTGGATGCAAAAAGCAGACTGAAATGTTATTGTTCCAGCTACATTTGAGAAATACCAAAGAACAATAAAAATAGGTAATTTTTCTGTCATGCTTAAAATTCAGACCAATACATTATTCACCAACATGATCAGAGTATAATGAAGTTATCATAATGTACCATTGTTATGTATTAGTTGGATATTACAATGGCTATAAAACAAGAGATAAAATATTGACTTCCCTTTTACAGGGCAATAGAAGGCTAGATTATTTCTACCACATAAACTTACAATGTAATAAAAAGGGAGTTTGGGATTTAGATTCTCTGAAGAGGGTGGAGTGAGGGATGCATTTTCAAAGTTAGATTGTTGCAACCACCAATACTAGGAAGATGCATCTCAGACTATAAAATATTGCCATAATTGCTAGAATTGCCTGAGCTTTCATAAACACATTTGCAAACAGCAATAAGAGAATTTGAGCCCATTGTGAATTGTCTGAAAAGCAATTTGTTTGCATTGAAAGCCACTTAAATGGGGGAAGAAAAGGCAACAATAAAAATAAATGCTCAACACTCATTGCAACAAACACAACTGTTCACACACACACTTTCTCACTCATTTTCTCAAACCTATCAGGCTGCACGGTGCAGAACATCCAACAGACCAAGAAGTGTAAATTTAACCACTCTGTAAAGCTTGCAGTAAGGTGGGCAAACTACCCTTGAGAAGCCAGCGTTGCACTTCCACTTCTCTGTCCCCTTGGCTACGGTGGCGATGGTGTGGGGCAGCACAGGCTGCTGGTGGATGTTTCTCCCGAGGGATTCCTGTCTCACAGGGACACAGAGATGCTATGTCTGGTGGCCATATCTTCTCTGGTCCATCCCCCTTTGATTCATTGAAAGAGTCTTTGCCCAATTGTTTTTTTTCTGGGGGAGGAGAAAGGGCTTGGCCAAGATGGGACTCAGCGTGTGATCCTTGGGATCCCAGGGAGGTGCTGATGCAGCTACAGTGGTCAGAAATCTGCAAGGTGGCAGCCTGGGAAGGGGGACATCCTAACGCCTGCCCCACTGCTGGCTCCATGCAAATGCTATGAACAGTAGAGTCTGTGGCTTCTCAAGCTCTAGATGTCAAAGTTTATAATTCCAGGGCCTCAATTAATTTATCTTCTCTCCATCTGGAATATTCAGGCCCCTCTTTGTAGACAGAGATCGCAATCGGATATATCCAGACTAAGAAAGCATTTTATTTCAGTGGTGAACTTTGAGATTAAATATTGAACACTTGTGAATTCATTCACTGCATCTCTTCCATCATCCCTCAAAACTAGGTTTGCTCTAAATGTTAGAAGTTCAGCTGAAAGAGAATTCATTAGAAGGTCACCTCTGATAGCAAAGATTGGCCTTTAAGTTCAGTAGAAAATCATTAGTACACTGTACACAGTATTTTCCACCCAGTTTTAGAAGAAAAGTTGCACATGCTATGGTTGGGATATCAACTGGGCATTAACTTATAGAAATGGCAAAGAAAAGCAGTTTGTAACACTGGACTCCTGCAGAGAGGTGCAAGGCTCAGCCAGCCCCAGCCCGCTCCTGGCTCACGCCTGAGCGAGGCACACAGCTGGCAGCAGGGATGCACGTGTACTGCTTGCAAATGCTTTTCTTTCAATAACATCTGTCCTTGTCTTAATTTCATATTGCCTTTCACTCGGCTCCTTAAGAAAGGCCTAAATGTCTGATGGAAAAGGGAGGGCTCCTCAAAAAGATTCATTTTTCTTTGCTTCCTATTTCTCTAAAGGCTTCACCAGGCCTTGCCCCAGTCTTACTTCCTGCTGATGTGAGATTTGATCTTTATCCCCCAGCTTTGACTTCTCCACCCAGTCTGGGATCGAGGCACGTGCATGAGGAGAAGATCTGAATGACAGGGGGACGTGAAACACCTCTGACCCAACATGATGTCGTGCCTGCCTCGGCCACCCTCCCGGCCAGGCGCCGGCCATCGTGTGCTGCAGCCACACACAGCATCCACAGGCCAGCCCGGCTTCACAGGCAATTAATCGGGGTTTCCACGCTGAATAAAACTGTCAGTCAGGAAGGAAGGCTCCCAGCTCTGCTAACTCAGGCCACTAATAAACAACTGCCATGCTGCAGCTGGGGAGATGGAAAGCTGTCAGTTATTTGGATCTTAAACACCAGCCTTCCCCTCTTAGGGTAAGAGGAGAGCCATGCTGTAAAACCTTCTCCTAATTACACATTAGGAGGTTTATGAGGGGAGAAGCTGCTGAGAGTTAAGGACTGTCTGAGCACAAGTAGTGTTCCTCCTACAGAGGACAAAATTAAAATGTGGGTGTATTTGTCAGAGGCAAAGGTCTGGATTATCATGCAAACTAGCGAAAGGACAAGAATGGGAAGTGAAGGCTGACAAACTGTCAGCCTCGGCATGTCGTTCGCGAGCAGAAGCGAACCAAAGGCCCCGTGGCAGATGCCGGCAATGCAGCTGCACCCTTCAGGTTGAATTTACTGACTTCTGCTGGTTTGTGTCCATGTTTGACACTGCACTCCCTCATTTGTTTAAAAATAAATAAAAAAGGAAGAAAACATAAAACCACTACTCAAGACACCAGAAAGGAAACTAAAGTGAGATCTGCCCTCAGGATGTGGGAATTGAAAACCAGCATTTCTAGGAAGAACAATCCCCACTCCACGTAGACGGGTTCTTCCCCAAAACGTGTGCTGCCTTCATGGAACTGACCATCTTGGGGAGCAAAAGGAGACAGTTTACTGGCTTGTCTGTGACCTAAGCTCATGATTTGTGGCTGATCTGAGGTTTACTGGCCTGTTCATGCCAGTCAGGGTGCTAAAAATACTATTATTGGAAACACGTTAAGATGCAATTCTCTCCTACTGGGCTTAAGTCATCCCCTGCTTGGGAAAAACAAACAAAATCCAAAATGCATGCATGGGGAGAGGAAACAGAAGAGGGAATCTCTTATCAGCTTGTCCTGGATCAGAGGCTTTTCCTGAGGTGACACAAGCCATGAAGCAGGTTGACTGAACACCTACACGGGTGCCCTGCAGCTGAAGATGACTGCAGCAGGCCAACACATGCATGAAGGTCTCATGCTGGCAGTTACATATTCATGTGCACTCCTGGCAGCGTGGATCCCCAGGGTGTTATGCAGAAACACCGCCTCTGTAGAGAGGGGACAGTTGGGAAGACAAGTCTATGTGAGACTGCTTGGTACTTTAGAGGCCACGTGCCCACCACAAAAGCACAGTACAGAGAGAAGCCTTGGATGTGGCACGGGGTCGGGAAAAGAGGGGCGAAATCAGTTTCTCCACTCCTTCCAACAGCACTGGGAACCTTAACATCATTGTGACATTTCTGTCTTTTCCTCTGTATGTAAAATCTGAGGACACAATCTAATACCCATTCCTCAGCCAGCCTAGTTGATGTCTAGGGAGTGCTTACGATGGCAGTGACAGAGGCTGCTTAATTGCATTTCTGGTAATGCACAAGGAACTAAACTGGAATTCATTTCTCTGGGGACAGAGAAGTTGAAGGAAAAGAAAAACTTCTGTTTCTGTAATGTCTTCCTCTAGCACAGATCACTCTGCAAAAAATATTGGTTTGCGTGCTCCATCCCCGTGTCTGAGTATATTCAAAATGCAGAGGATGTAGTCAGCCTGGTCACCTTCCATAAATCCGGGAGAGAAACAGGGAGATTAAATGAACAATCTCAGCTGCCTGCTGCCACCACTGCTAAACCCAGCAGGGCAGCTGGAGCCCTGGGAGACACAGCAGGGTACCAAAAAATTCAAAGGGAAGTGACAAAAGGGAGTAGGGTTTGCCATTTCTGACAGAAAGCCACCCTCCTACTCTGATGGAAGAGTCTTGGCAGGGAGCTACAGCAGGGAAAATGAGATGATACAGCATTTAACGTTTGGGGTAATGAGGCCTATAATAGATGACACTTGAGATGTGAAACACTAAGGTAGTGCTATTGCATTTAAATATTGGCAACAAGCTAAAGCTTTTCATCTGTCTGTCCAAAGCCCCTTCTTTTAATCTCAGACGGATGAATATATTTTTTCCTTCCTTGATTTTATGTGAAGGGCACAAGTCAACTGTTCTTCTCTTGGGCAACAACTCCTTAAAAACAAAGGTTGCTCCAATCCACACTCTACTACCCCTATAAATCAACGTGCAGAAGCAAATTCTTAGAACTATATTAAAACAGAACCTGCTCTGAATGACCAGCCCTGACAGAAGGAATTAGCTCCCTGCTTTTGTTAAGCTCGTAATTCAGATTTCAAACTCCTCTGTGCAGAGATGATGAAGAAAAGCGGCACAGAAAGGAAGCTGATGCTTGGGCAAAATAAGCAAGCGTTCCAATTAGCCTGTCTCCTCTCCTGGATCACATTTCATGCTTCCTACAGCTGCAACCAGAAGGAAGGATGAGAATCCAGCATACAAATGCCTAGTTCATTTGCTACAGCAGAATGAATAGGATTAAAATAATCTGAAGAGGAATTAAATGCCTCGACAGTCAGGTTGCAAGAGCAGGAGAATAAGACCTCTCCTGTGTGTTTCCAGGATCAGTGGAGTGGGGCCAGCAGGAGTGACCCAGGGTTAATGCAGCTCAGACCTGCCTTGGAGAGACTATTTTCTTCATACTCAAAATGAGTGGGCCACAAATCCTACATCCTTAGCCATGAACTGTAAAATGTTTGGTAAGACAAGCCCAGGAACATTGGATGAGTTTGCAGTGTCACTACTCACACAAGTCGAATTTCCAGCTTGCAGACAATCTGTACATGGGCTGCAGGTTTCCCTCTAAAATACTCACTCAGAAAACCCCGTCTGGGCAAATATAAGCTGGTAAGTGAACTTCAATGAACTGTTTTGGTTTGACTTGCTATCTAAACAGTGTTGTTCAAATAAGACATAGTATTTTCTACCTATGAAGAAATAAGGGCAGAAATCAGTAAACTGAGGTAAGTGAAATAGAAGCACAGTGGTGTCATGCCTCTCATTAAAAAAAAAATCTTGATCACCCTGGGAAAATGCAGTGCTTTGAGAAGGTACACATTTCCCTCGACTTTGTTCTGAAAACAGTTCTCAAGTTAAATGATAGAAATAAGGAATAAATTTTAGGGCCACAGCAGAGCCTCACTACAGAGCAAATTCTATCGGAGGCAAGTATGGAAATCTGCATCTTCAGTGATGATCACACAAATACAGGCAATAATTTTGTTACCGGTCTGGTTAAACGTAATCAAAATAATTGGTTTTAAATGCAGTGTTACATTCAATACACATACAAGAAACAGGATCCTTTATATAATCAAACAGATAAGCATTCATTTAATCAATATATAATCAAGCAATGTGCAAGCACCTAGAAGTAAAAAAGGAAAAAACAAGCAGCCAACATGGATATGTCAAGTATAAATCATGTCTAATTTCCTTCTGTGACAGAGTAGCAGACCTTGTCAATAGAGGAGAAAGAGCAGACATCATCTATCCTGACTTCAGCAAAGCTTTTGACATCGTGACATTCAAACACGGCCTATGTGAAACAAGTATCTGGTAGATGCATCACTGGCTAGAAAACTGTACTCGGTGAATGGTTATCAACATTTGCTGTCAGAGCGGAGGGAAATTATCAAGTGAGATTACACAGGGGTCTGGCAGCATTCACTGTTTTTTCTTAATGACTTGGCTACCAGAAAGTGTGGGCTTATTGGATTTGTCAGGAGTAACCAAGCTGGGAGAGGCTGCGGACAGGCTGGAGCATACGCCTACTTTTAAAATTACCTTCTCTAACTTGGGAAATATTCTGGAAAAAGCAAAGAGCAGCTTCAGTAAAATGCAAATCCCAGAAGCAAAGGAGCTCTGAGAAAGCACCGAGAAAAACTGTGGTGATGAGGGGAATCCTTTTCCCCCTCTAATGCCTTCCCCCTGCAGAATAAATGTGGAAAGTGATGTGTATGTGGTGCTAAAGTCCTGGCCCTATTATTAACAGTAAAACAATAATTAGCTGCTGTGTTCTGCTGCAGAAGAGGACAGATTTCTATCTGTGGTCCTCAAAATACAGCTTGCAAGTACTAATTAGTTCTTGTGCATGAAAGACGATGTAAGTATTTAAGTGAGTTTTAATTATTAACTGTATTAACTCATCAGTTGGATGATTTACCAGCGATATAGCACAGTGAAAGCCAGAGCACTCAGGGTAATTTTCTGTGACTATTCCTAAACAGGAGAAAATGTGCTAAACCACATAATAAACCAGCAACGGTTTAATACTGGCTGGCGATAACGTTCTCTCACAAAATCCCATTACCTTACTGGAATGAGAAACAACCTTTCCACTGTGGGATGGTTTTCAGTATGGACCGAAGGAAGGGAACTCATTACATCAAGCTCTTTGTGTTTCCCACGGCTTACCTGAGGGTCGTGCCTCTATGATGTAGCCAGTTGTGGGTTTTTCTCCTGAATCTCCCTCAGTCCATTGTAGCGTCAGCCCAGAAGCAGATTTTGTCACCAGAATTTCCTGAGGGGAGCCAGGAGACCCTGAAGGATGAAACAAGGTTAACAAATGATTGTGGTATCACAGGCAGACTGCTGTATTTTCCATTTCTTCTACTGGTATAGGGGAAAAAATTATCTAGAAATATTGGTCAACATATAGGCAGCTCAGTGGGCTGGTAACCTGAATTTTTCACTCGTTTTCACACCAGCTGTCGTATATCAATGGCTGGGTTTTACAATTACCTGTGTTAAGAAGGAAAGAGTAAACCCACTCTCATTTTAACCATTAGCATATCTGCAGCGTTTGCACATTGCCACTGCTATTTCTGACTTGAGAGGTGAAGCCAGCCTCCAGGTTTCAGGGAGAGGTTTGCAGGGACAGCTGCCTGCCCATCCACTTGGGAAGGTGCCACAGCCACACTAGAGAGGATTCCTGCTTTATACTGTCTGTGGTGGAGGGCATGAGAGTTAAACTGTGGATCCATAGCGCCGCTATCCCAGACAATGGCGACGGAGCTAATGAAAGCTTGCTGGCACCCAGAAGGGTGGAACTGCCAGATGTGGCTCTGATGGGGGGAGCAAATATTTCCCTGAGCTGGAAAACAAGCAAAAAATCAGAAATTCCATCACTGCATTGATGTTCTGTGATTTACTGGACAGGGTTATAACATTTGGAGGTCACTTACCTTGTTAGATTATCTGTTTATCAAAATCACTGATCAAATAAAAGAACTAACTCTTTTGGTACACACATTGAACCAAGCTGGTGTTCAGCCTGTAGCTCTTCTTGATATATCAGGAAATTTGCAGACCTCTCCCTCCACATAAGCCAAAGTGTCAGGAGAGAATAATTGTAAATTCTTTCTGGCTTTACATCCAGGATCCTCGGCTGGTTTCAGCAGAGTTATTCCAGTTCTGACTCCACCGCATAGCAGTACAGTCAGAATTACGCACTGTGCTCTAAGGCTGCAGCTGTGAAATCCCTGGCTATCCCGTTTGAGTTATGATTTATTCACATTGTTTTGTTTATTCACATCAGAATTCTAGATTTCAGGAAAAAAGGAAACATGTTTTTCATGAGCAGTTGTGAAACCCACTGAATCATGTCCTGAGCTCCTGTGACTCAACTTCTCCTTGGCTTGGAAATTCATGTGAAGCCCTGAGTGGACTATTCCCTGCTGTTGGATCATGTTTGTATAACTGATTTGGCGTGTGACATGCTTTTATGGTTCCACTTACCTTCTGCTGGCCCAGCTGTGACATTGGCTTGCAGTTCAGGTCCATAGGCGATGGTTCGGGCTTGCACCCTGAATAAATAGGTCATGCCCTTGGTGAGATCTCGGACCTTCAACCAGCGTTGCCAGTTCCCTTTAATGTCCACAGTCACCACCTTACTCACCCCTAGAAAAGCCATGCAGATTAAAAAATAAGAGAAGGTTACAATGCAAAAGAAGAAATCAAGTGGAGCTTATTACATCTAGATGGTAAGTAAAATTATCTAACAGTTTGCTAAGAAAGTATTTCTTACAATTAGCGGGAGTTTAAGTAGTGATAATAGCCAATTTTCAGCACTGATAAGTATAATTACAGTTTAAGCTTGATAAGTGGGTACCGACAAGAAAAAAACCTTACAACACAACTGGGAAATTACCAAGAGACTACACGCAACTTCACTAATTACTCTGGGAAGAAAGGAGGAGGTAAACGAAGAGGACTGCGCATTGCAGACTGCTTTCTAAGCCAGCACTTCTCCACTGCTCCTTTGCCAAGTAACCTGCAACATTGCCTGGAGGAGGAAACAAGGGCCAAGGCTCTTTCATGTTGTCCTGTCGTTTCCACCATTACCAAGTGAATGCAGAATGAAGGCTGTGTATCTCACAGGTAACTTGTGGGTATAAATGTCACTTCAACAGGGGATGCCATCAAAGCAATATTAGCTTCGACAAGTCTGAAGTTGTGACTTGTGTTTCACTCTTCTCACTCTCTTAAGAATTTTTCTCACACAGATGAATTAAAACCAGTGCTGTTCCCTTCATCAAAGCTCATAGTTAGTTTCATGTTTAGGTCCTCAGTGCTGCTTAAAGGGCAGAGCAGTAATGAGTGCTTTGAAAATAAAAATGCTAGTTTTCATTTAAATTTTCTAAAAGTAAGTCAAAGGAAATTGATTTATAAAACATTTTACAGAACAGAAAGTTCAAATTTGCAGAACCCTTTTGGTATTTTTTTTGGTTCTGTAGATGTACATAACACATTTCAAACCAAGAAGATAGGAAGTGGGAGAATGTTCTTCCCGCTAGAGAAGGCTGCTTGATAGTTTATCTTTCCAGAAAAATGTAGAAGGAAGATGCTTTTCAATCCAGATGCTTATTTTATGCAAATCAAGATGATGCTTTCAGTTTTTATCAGTTAAATAAAGAATAATGTCCACGCAATTTCTGTTCAAAGTTTTCTCCCAGATACAATTTATAACTCCAGGAATCTTTCCTTGGTTAACGAGGAAGCAGTAAAAGTGCTCCCTCCTTCCCTAGGTGTACTATTTCATTTCTCTGAGACAAATCAGGAAGCATTTGTCATTTTGAAGTTATGTTCCAAAAGAAAGGAACTGTTAAAAAAGGCTCCAGGGCAATTTTGTTGTCTATTACTGTGTAAAACATAACACAGTAAAGCTTAAACAATAAAAGGTCAAAGAGGGAGAGGGCTGTGCTAAAGAACAGATCACAGTTAGAAAGTTTTGCACAGTGTGCAGGTTTTAAGCGGTGGCTTGTGAGTGGGAAGGCAGGAGGTGTCACAACGGCGAGGATGCTCAGCCAAAAATCATGGATGGGTGTAAAGTCAAAAGATGCAGGAAAAAAGCACCGGGGGTCGGGTCCATCCATGCTGTTGCGCTGTAGTGCTGGCACAGAGGAACATGAGACCTGGGGCTGGAAGGACCCTCCGGGATCGTGGGATCTGGGAGCTGCTGGCCCCACAAGCCTCTCTGCCTGCTTTCAGCACCATTACGTGCTCTATTATGCTTCAAATAAGTTTGGCTTACCTTGCTCTCTAAATAAAGGAGCATGGCTTTTCTATCAGAGGAAAATGATGGCATCGAGGGAGGGATTACTTACCATGGTGGGAGAATAAATATGTTTGGTGAAAGAAAAATGTTGGCATGAGAGCAAATGGGTGGAAACTGGGAAATAAATTTTGGCAAAAATTTAGAATCTGAGGAAAAGCCCTCCATAACCTCCCTGCTCACATCAGAAATCTTCTGTGGGGGAAGGCGAGACAAACTGGAGTCAGAGATAGCACAGGCAGATGTGGGGGAGAGAAGAAAACAAAGATTCTGATGATGTTAAGTCAAACGCATACAGAGAAAACATGATCTGACACGTCCATATTTTCAGGGGAAAAAATATATTATTAAACACTATGCAGGAATGAATAAAAGGCAGGAAATGCCCGAACAGCCTGAACCTCCTGCATACCCTGCGTACATTTCTTGGTCAGAATTAGAAATGCTTTCTGCATTAGCTGTTTGTGCTCAAACCTGCCAGCCGCAAAGGCTGAAAGTGCTTTTATTCTCGTGTTTTCATTCCTGAATATAACTTCCTCAGTGCATGAGACATAGATATTCAGACAATATAGATCTTTATTCCTTACAGAAAAAGCAAATACGAGTGATTGATATCCTTATTTCTTTGAAAAAGAGTTTAAAATGGATTGGCAATGGCTAAAATTACTCTCCCTGCTGTCACACTGCCAAAGTTGGACATCCTATTGAACTATTGGCGATCTACCAGGAATATAAAAATATTAATAAGACCATCCACAATCTGTAATCTTTTCTAATTCACCTTTGGAATGAATTTACATTTGTTTTCAGAGAAATTGCCAAATCCTTCTCTGTTGCTGTTCTGGCAAATTAATGAAACATTTGTGGCCACCACATTGTTGTGGTCCAGCTTAAATCTGGTGCTGGGTTAAAAATGCTACTTGAAAACTCCATGTAAACAGACACAAGTAAATCTCTAACACAGTTATTCTCCTCTGTCAAAAGCAGCAGCGGTACCAGTGATGACTAGCACATTTGATGCCCAGGCAATCTTTGCGATAACAGAAGTGACACATGATGTGATAAGCAACACAAATGTGTCTGACGACTATTCTGAGATGGAGCCTACTCAGCAATTTCAAAGTGCAACGCGGGGAGACAATCAGGCACTCTCAGGCTGTTTCCTCTTTGTCCATAGCCGGTAACGATGGCCATAAAATGACTTTTCAAATCACAGAGAATATAGTTTGTGCAAGAAAATGAGAGAGGACAGACAAAACCTATATTCCACAATATTATAGTTTGCTGAACAGTTTTGGCAAAAGTGGAATTGTTTTACTTACCCTCTGCCACCTGGCTTCTCTTGGAAAACAGCAGAGAACAAGTAGGAAATTGGGCAGAGATAAAAGATACTCCAGTACTTTTCTGTCATTTCCCCATGAATATGTATGATCAGAGGTCTTTCTTACCCTGGACGGGAGCCAAAGGCTCATAGACTACTCGATAACCCTGCAGGACTCCATTTGCTGCTGTCGGCTCGCCCCAAGACACATTGAGTGTAGTGCAAGTGATTTCAGAGAACACCAAAAAGCTGGGAGCACTGGGTGCTGAAAGGATTACAAAAAGATTGAATTGCAGTAGCAGTAGTCAATCTGATATACATATGTATTATAAAACATTGGTTTATTTTCCCAGCCTAAATCTAAAGGAAACAAGCTGAGGATGAGATCTGTCAATTGTATCCCAATGTCCTGTAATCAGTCAGAAAACCCAGCCTCTCCGAAAAAAAAAAATAAACAGCCTCTCAGCTGCAAAGCTGAACCTCAAAAGCAAGCAGGGAGATAGGACAGAAGGGAAAGACCCTCAGAAGGGTGCTGCATGAGCATACAGCCCGAGTGCACACCTCCTCTTCACAGCCACCACCAAGGGCATTGCCTTCACCCTGTGCTGGAGCACTCCCACCATGGTCACATCCAGCACAGAGACAGCTCAGTCTGCCTGTGTGGCTGCTGATCCAGCTTTTTTTTTTTTTTTTTTTTTTTTTTTTTAAAAAGAGGAATTATAAAAAGCACAATAATTCTCTCACAGGACTATTTGGACAATTTTCAGGCACCGGAGATGAGTTCCTTTAGGTTTTCAGATGTCATAGCAGAGCACAAACAGACCCACAGAGAGTTTCTTTCTGGACGTTGTGAAGGGACTGGTCCTTCTGCCAGTCCATTCTTGTTTCTGCTGTATCACTCCCTTTCCCACATGGTCCACTTACTTGATCCCTTTTTTCCCCTCCAAGACCATTGCAATGTAATAACCCATCCAAAACCTAAATCTCAACACCAGTGCTCTCCTGCATCCACCCATGTCCCTTAGCCACTGTTACACGCTGGTTGCTGCACAGCTTGTGCTCTGAGACAAGACAACCATCCCGTACCCGCCTGGTGTGTCCTGCCCCGTGACGGGCTGCTCCTGGGGCCGTCCCCAGCTGCGTTGAAAGCGGAGATGCAGACCATGTACTGCGTATGGCTGGTCAGATTTTTGAGCCGGACTGTTGTCTCTGGGAGGAAAAGCACCTTCACTTTCTCTGTGTCATTTTGGATGTCGCTCTCCCAGTAATAAATCTGTTGGAACAGTGAGATATTTTATGTATCCTACACCTAGAAAATATCTGGGCATTGCAGCTATAAAAGATCAGGGAGATGGTGCAGTCTTGCTCTGTACTCCTCCGTTAAATGGCATACTAATACTTTTCACCACATGTCTAATCTTTTCTCTTCCTTTGGCAAATTCCCCTGAGTCCAGTGACCAAGTAGCTGAGTGCACCACTCAAAAATAGAGCACAGGCTGAAGAATATGGCCTAATGACAGCAGATATGAGCTGCCAGAGTTCAGCAACGAGAGGTCAGTTTTTAAATTTTCCCTGAAATGCTAGCTGCCTGTCAGCACCGGCATCCTGATATGATGGTCCATAATTCATCTCTGTATGCACACAATGGTTCACCATTTGTGTTCACAGACAGACAAGCAAACGTTTTCCTGAAGAGGGTAATAAAGACTTTCCCTAAAGTTCCTTGAGATACTTTTCCCTATTCTTCCTTTACATAATTTTTAATCCTGATGCCATAAAATTAAGCTTCGGAGAAGTCATTTCCAAGAGGAAAGGTGGTGCCAGCCCTACTTATTGGACAGGCCTGGCAAAGAGAGCATTACAACAGGCCAAAGCAAGCCAGAAAGTTGAGAGAATGAGCCAAGGCAAGTCTCCACCTTGGCTCCGCAAGCCAAGCTGTTAGAGCCATCTATATACGTACAAAAGGAAAAGAACATGAATTGATATATAAGGATGCTTGTAACTGCCAAGAAGGGATGCCAGATTATTCACATTGGCTTGGCTTTTCTTCGCTTATGGACCTAAATTCATGGACAGAGGCAGAGCCAGACACTGAACCCAAGCCAAGCTCCAGTGTTTGTAGACTTGCCCATTTCCACTCTCTAAGGGTCCATTCTCATGCTGGAGAAACTAAACAACATGCCTCTGCAACGTGCTCATCTCCCGTGAACCAAACACAATTAATACTCTGATTTAATTTTGTTAAAGTTAAGGAAATGAAATAATTCTTCTGAAATCTGACCTGGCTCAGGCTTCTAGCTTGGAAAAAGCTCTGCTTTTCCTAATGGCTTTTAACATTTGATAGATAGAAAGCTCAGTTAATTTTCTTCATAGTTTCTTGCCCCTAGTTCTTGTGCTTTTTGGAGCAGATATGTTGCCCGCATAAGTGGAGCTACCTCCTTATCTGCATACCCTGTTTCCCCATGCTCTCCTTCTCCATAAATAGCAACACACTTTTTCTTTTCTTCTCCTGCAATCTCATTCTCTTTCTTTTGGTTTAGGGACTTAGTGTCATTTCCGTACTGCAGTCTGAATGCTGTTTTAATCTGCCTTATGCAGCGAGGGCAACTGTCGTTTATAGAGCTATCTCACAAGTAATAGCAATGCCCAGCAAGATAAATGAAATCAGTAGGAACAGGAGGATTGCCTTGTAGCCTTGGATGTTCCCATTTTGGCTGTCAGCTGGAGGGGGGTCCCAGGTGAGCTCCAGCTGGCTTGCAGAAAGGGAGTTTACTTGGATGTTCTGTGGGGCCAGCGCTGGTGCTAGAAAGAAAGGAGGACAGAAGAATTAACAGTGACAAGCAGAACTAGTTCATATCCAGGTTGCAGTTTTCCATTTGCAGAAGGACCCAAGACAGACTGTTCACACCTCAAGTCAGCTAATGGAGTCAGCCCTGGAGGTATCCACAGCTCCGGGAAATCTCAGCACCCACGGGCTGAGGAGCAGCTGCGCCTCCAGGACGTGGTTATGTCCTGTCCCACACAGACTGGGGTACATACTGAACCAACCGAATCCTGACAGCGGCTTTGGAAAAGGAGAATTTTGTCTTCATTCTACAGTATCATTTGGGGCTTGCCTTTGGCAGTGACACTGCACCCCTGACCGACAGCTTCTGACAGTAACTGGGAGCACGGCAGCCCCTTGCTGCCATCAGCCTGGCCTCCCACTCAGCAACGGGTCTTTATAACAGCCTGTCTTCAAGGCTCCAGGACTTAGGGCCAAAATACTGTCTAAAATTACCTCCAAACCCAGTCAGACACTAATCAATCAACTAACATTTTATGTATGACAAAATCACCTTTAGTTTTCTACTTGTTAGCTCTGTTTTGATTATACCTTCACATATACATGCTGGCTGTCTTTGGCTCCTGATGGCATTTCTTCTTTGCATTGTGCTTTGCTAGAAAACTAATCTCTGAGTGCACCTGGGTCACACCATCCCTCCCTTTGTCAGGATCCAACTTGGTGCAGGTGGATTTTCTTCCCCAGCGGCTAGCGGGGATGGTCTGTTTTCCCGACCTGCTGTCTCTGCCTCCGGCACGTCTTAACAAAACAGCACATGTTCTGTTTACAGAAGAGGTGCTGAAGCATGTCCAGTTCAAACTCCAGAAGTAGGAAGAGAAAAGCAGGGCAAAGGGTACACTTCTCCTTTCATCATGTTCACGGTGCCATAGCCTTCACCCAGACCACCTGAGAGAGCTGCCTCTTTTCTCTCTGCCCCTTTATGGGCCGTAAATAGAAGTGATAAAACATTCACTACTCAAGTCAGATAGCCCCGGTTATCTGTTCCTCTGGAGACTTCTTTCTTCAGAGAGAATGACCTTCATAAGTCAGACTTTTCTACCAATACTCCCTCCCCCCAGAGTTATAAAATAAAATAGTAATTAACACCCACTCAGCCTGACACCAACTATTTATTTTGTTCTAACTGTGTGGTTTCCATATTATCACTGCCCACCCTGCCGTTAATGGAAATGTTAATAACCAGCGCCAGGTTGTTGTGACAGATGCTTGGGCTCATTATCAGAAATTCTTATTTACCGCTCCATTAAACGACAGAATCGCACAAAAAAACAATTCAATCAAAACTAACTGGAGGAATTTTAACAGCCACATTAATAATCCAAAACATAAATAAAGTTAATGTCTTTTGCATGTTTGCCATCGGCAACTCTATTACAAAATTATTGCTGTACAATTAAAATGTGAAAGGCAAAATTGAAAATAGCCTTTATCCCCATGCTCAGTTAAAACTATTTGTTTATTGTAGTTTTTGTTTCCTCTTTGGCTGGATGTCGCAAGTGCAAGAGGTGACAGTGACCATCAGTAAAATACAGCTTGTTCACAAGGGTGCCCTCGGCTCGCGGCTGCCCTGTCTCCTGCACTTCGCGGAGGAGCAAAGGCAGCAGCTAAGCCGCCTGGCTGCGTTCAGTGCAACGTGGCGCTGTTCTGCTAAGGACCAAGAATCTCAAAATTTTGAGACTTTCACATTAGAGAGGCCAAACTGATCACACAGCACAAACCTGAAAATACATCTTGGAGATTTGCAGATGATGACATGCTCAGGGAAACAGGAATACATACAATCACAGCCGAAAATGGATCACTTTAGCAATGTATTTTGTTTCTAGGTAGTGACACTACTGTCTGTCCTGAGTTGACAGCTTCAAAGTGCTCTCAATACTCAGGTCTGAAATAGCATCTTCAATAGCTTTTTTCTTTGGATCCCATGTTCCAGCCTGCAGCAATTGCCACTTCCGAGATGCGACCATTACAAGAGCCGGCGCGCACAGCCTGCTGCCAGAAAAACACTGTTTTTCCTCAAACCCTTTTTGGACCATGTCTAAGAAACACAATGGTTAAAAACTGCCAACGATCATTCTCCGCTGACACTCTCACTGCTGGAGCTGCACTTTTGCTGGCACAGCGGTGGAAAATTTTCATGGGAGGAGAAAAAAAAAAAAGATTATGTGGAAAAAGACATTTCACTACCCCAGAGCCTCGAGGAGATGCAAATTGTTTGGTTTTGTGCCCTGTGAGTCTGTCTCTCTGTTCAACTTTCAAAGGCTGATGTGTCCCTCCTCTTCTAAGCACAGATTTCTTGTTGACAGCAAGGGACAGGAGAAAAGTGCTACTGACGCTTGATGTGGCTCTGTGCAGACAGCACGTTACATTAAGGGTGAAATGAAACACTTCAAAAAGAAGGAAATACATCCCTAAAGACTCTTACCTGTTTGAAACCCCAAACCAATTCACCGAATGTATGGACAGCCTGTGCCAATAAAAGCAAGTGTATTTTAAAGGTGAATTCAAAAGCCTTTTACCTTCTAGGAATGCAGTTCAAGATTACTGAGCTCTGAATTTTTTCATGGCTGTTGAAATCACGAATACATAAAAGGCAAGGTTAAAGCTGCATACCTCACACTGCTTTAGGTGTTAGTGACATTATCAACTATAGCAGGAATGACACAGACCCCTGAGGGTCCAAACTGGCTCTTGGAAGGTAGAAAGCATTTCACTTTCCCTGAAAAAAACGTGTGTATTCATGAAGTCTAATTCTGTGTCTAATCCCGCCTTGGAATCTTATGCAGGTATTTGTAAACATTTCTCTTCTTATCTGATTTCAATTCACCTTTGAGATTGTCTCCTTGAAACTCTCAGCCAAAATGTAAGGAGAAAGGCTGAGCATGTTGTATAGTAATTAGTAAAAAAAACCCCATCATCATCTATGGACTGGGATGATGTTGGCAGGATCATGTAAAGGCAACAAATCTATCTGGAAATTCAAGAGAAAGTCAAAATGAGCCCATGAATAAAAGTTACACATCTAAATCCACATTTAAACATATCACTGCCCTCATTTTCCAGTCACACTGAACAGTCTCTGCTCACACTGCAGTCAATTTGAGCTTGCAAATGCTTATAACCTTTAAAAAGAAGGTGCTTAAAATCCCCAGTGGCCTGCCCGCACCGGAGCTCCGTGTATTGCAGAGGGTTCACATTAGTTTTTCTCGCTGCTTGCTTGGGATATTTGCTCTCTGAGCTGTGTGGCACTGAGAGCTTTTCATCAATATGAAACTATTATTCCTTTTCTTAGTGACAGTTGCCACGATGCTCTGTAGCACACGTAGGCTACAAATCCTTGTGATTCATTGGGTAAACTTAATAACTGTTTTTATGAAGCATTCCTTGCTGCTCTTACATCTGCTCCAGTTTCTGGGTAGCAAAGGATTTCTCCTCTACTGACTTTCTAATTGTTTCTATAATGCCAGTATTGTGTCAGAAAATTCACAGACAAGTCTGGGACAAGATTCCCCAGTACTCGTGCCATTTAAATAAACATGCAGGCAAAAAATGAGGAGAAAAATGCAGTGAAAGAGAGTGAAGATTTTCTGTGCATCAGCTTGATCCCACAGTTCCAAACAATCCCAAGCAAATTTCTGGTTTGTAAAGACCTCTGATCCTTTTCTATCTAGCAAGCATTTTCCTCCCAGTTCATCAAAGCATGCTTTTGTGAACGCGCCTGCTTTTATTCCCTAGTAATCAATATATTTGCATTTTGGTGTTAGCACCTAGAGGCCAGAATCTCATTGCACAATGTGTTGCATAAACACAGAACAAAGAGACAGCTCCAGGCCCCAAAAGCCTCTAATCTGTATGTCTACACATTATAATGGAGGGGTGGTGGCAGCATGTTCTGACGTATCAGCCATAATCTTATCTACCTAGTGAGCAACAACGAGAGAGAAGACACAGCAATATTCAATGCAGCATGTGCTGACAATTAAAGCGTGCACAGGCAGCACCTCCAAAGTTTACACACTGGTTCCTGGCACACACAGTCATGGAAAATAGAGCTGGAAAGGATTTGGAGAGGGCTCAGACAAGCCATCCTCCTGCGTCACACTGGGATAAACCCAGCTGGTCAGCTGTTTGTGTAATCTTGATCACTGACCTCTTTCCAGATACCCCCGTCCTCCCCACACAAACTCTGTCAGCATATCCCTATTTTAATAACTCTTAAAATAACTCTCAGGTTTGGGTTGGTTGTGGTGTTTGGTTTTGTTTTGTTTTTGTTTTTGTTTTTTTAAATGTCTAGCCTGAACCATCCTCACCATATTGAAGTTCTGTTCCTGCAGTGTCATGGAGAACAGATTGTTTCTTCTCCCCTTGCAGACACTGCCCTCAAGTTATGGCATAGATAAGCAACAGTTAAGTGGATTATAAAAGCCAAACACAACAAAACAAACAGAAGGTCACAAGATAAAACAGCAAGACTGATCTGCAGAATGGGCAAAGTGAGACGCAAGAGGTTTTCTTGTAGTATGGGCTTAGAGAAGGAACGCAAGGACAGTACTTCCCAAGGAAGCACAAATAGGTGTATCTGCAGATGTTGCAGCCACTCCTACCACAAAGGGAAAGCAGCATGCGAGAAAAATGTTCAGCATTTATTGGCCATTTTCTTACAATGTCTGCAAAAGAGAGCTGGGAGTGAGAAACACTTCCCCTGTGCAGCGGTACCTCTGAGCCGTCAGGAATGCTGCGTGAGTGATGCTGATTAGTTCAATAACAATTAGTTAATTGTGCTTCAAAAACAGCTACCGCGAAGCTGCTTTCCGCTGTGACAAAGCGGCACACGCTATATTTAGAATGTAAAAGATGTTTCCCACCAATTTCTGGCTGTTTTAAGCTAGGCTACATTTTGAGATGGAAGTACGCACTTCTTCCATGGACTGCACTTTCTGGGGTTACTCAGATTTCA